TAATTGTAATAAAAAAATTAATTTTTGCTATATTTTAGAATATCTTTAAATTCATTACAAAAAAAAAAAAAACTACAATGAAAAAAGCAAGTCAGCTACATATCGATTTGTTGTACTCCTCAAATCACATTCACAATTTGGCTACAAGGAAAGAAAACTCATTGACTAAAATATTATTTTGTCAGTAGTCTTAATGTACAAGAGACTTTAAGACTCCACTTGAATATTATAAAACTTTTATTGAACATTGTACAATTTTCTTGCGTATTATAAACTTTTATTGAATATTGCATCTTATAAAATAATATTCTCCAAATAAATATATCTCGTGCTTTGCACGAGTCACGTACTATATATATCCCGTACATTTTTCTTTATTCATGTATATAATTATAAGCCTGGATAAATAGCCTTAAAATTGTGCACCCCGTGCATCGCACGGGCTCTGTACTAGTATGTTTGAATGATAATAGCAGTTGCAGGATTTTAAATTCACGTCAGACTTTAGCTATTATTGTAAAGAATTTTAAATAGTTTCTCAAACCTAATCATTTGAAATTCACCGTTTATCTCACCGTTGATGACCGCACATTCCGCGAGTATGAAAAACTTCATTTAGATTCATCATCAATGCGAGCTATTGTCAAACAGGTAATGACCATATATATAAAGTTAAAGCATCAGAATTTTTACCCTATGATACCTTCTACATTTTATAAGGTATCAGAGACTGACTGTAGGCGAAGCTGGATGCAAAAATTAAATTCAATTAATGTTACGAGATCCACTTGGATGACAACTCTCGAGTCAAGTTTTTAATTTGGATTTATTTAGATTTATGTAATTTGATGCACATAAACAATAATGTTATCAAGCTAGATAGCTATAGATCAAGTTAAAATAGCTTGTTGAATAAATTTTATAGTATTCAACTCGTTAGTGTTATCGATTTAGGTCGAATGAAAAACATGCTCAAATTGGCAGTTTCGATCCTTCCTACCCACAATTAGGATGAAATATTTCGCTATCCAACTCAATTTTGAAGAAGACATATATTTTTTTTTTTTGGGAACGATAAAGATTTTGTAGAAAAACACATAAGTACATCTAGAAAACAGCCCAACAGGTGAATAAAGCAGCTCTAGAGTCGAATCTAGTGGAAGGACAGATGCCAAAGATCGCCTAGAACCTACACTAAAACAAAATGCACCCACAAACGACAACCAGAAAAACAACAAACTCCACAACTGGAGAATAAAAAACTCCCCTACAGGAGAATACACGCTCTGCTACGAGAGAAAACACACATCCTACGGGAGAAACAACTAAAAACAACAACACAAAACACCAACTATACCAAACTCAAACACAAAAGAATAAACACCAACAACATAACAAAACACAAACAATAAAAAAGCAAAGGCTAGACAAAACCCTTCCATCAACCGACTAAACACACCAAAAGCAACACGACGGCGGCAACCCGACCGACCACCCCAATGGACTGGACCACGCCCTTGGACACCACTCCAGAAACTGCCAAAACACGCCTAACTGGAACCGCAACCCAAGAACACGACCCCACGCCCAGATAGTCGATCCCGGTCCCGTAGTCGGGCGAAAACGACAACCTAACCCCTCCACATAACCACCGGCCCAAACCGGGCGAAGAAGACATGTTTTACTTGACAAAATCATGAAAAATAAATTCATGCACTTCAATAGTTAAATGCTGTTACAATTTACAAAATTATGGTTTAAAATTTAAAGTATCTCTCTCTCTCCCCTTTTCTCCTCTCTCATTCTCGAGGTGAAAACCTCTGCAAACACATTGCACAAAACACAAACACACATATTAAACACATACAGGATTTTACTTGGGCAGTTGCCTCAGAATCATCGACTGGTTCGTGGGCTCTTTCTTCATTTTGACTCAGATCTCTACTTTTCCCAATCTCGGTAATTTTATGCTCATTCGCTTCCTCCCCTTCTTTTTCTATGTAAATTACAATTTCATGTGCGTGGATGTGCTGAGCTCCGTGGCGTATTTTATCTTACTGTAATTGGTGCGTCCTATGTGTTGATCTTTGATGTTCAATCCCAAGGTTTTCTTTTTTATGTTTTTGTTGACATTTTAATTTATGTTGGGTTATCGAATACTATGTGTTTGAATTTCCGCAGATCTTTTCATTCTTCTATATGTCCATTGATCGAATAAACCTTTGCTGCTCTTTTCCCCCTTCATCGGCTTTCTATTGTACAGATTATCATGGGTTTTCAGTTTCAGATTGTCTGACCTCTCTTTACTTTGTATTTTGGGGAAACAAATGAGAAAAGATTCAGAATTTATTGACATTTTTTTCCTGGTTTAAAGCTGAACGCTGGAAATTTACATGTATGGTGTAAAAATATTTCTTTTCTGTATATTTCTATGGCTTGTGTAGCTTTGACTGTGTCTATGNAGATTTGCTGTTTTTAGTTGTCTAGGTGTAGTTCTTCTAGATTCAGCTTTTTTTGGCTGGTTGATTAAGTTAACTGTTTACTAGTTTGTTTATTTATTAATGTATCTTCCATTTCGGAAAAAAAAATTGAATAAATTAAGAAATATCTCCACATGCATGTGCCAGTATTGTTCCCTTATGTACTGGTTTATTTTGATATTTCTTACTGTAAAGCAAGTTCAGAATGTTTTTGGTTTTGGAAAAGATAAATGATTGAATTTTCGCTCATAAGAGTTTTCAGTCCTCGAAAAGGAAGACACTTTAACATGCTCATAGCAGAAATCATGTGAACGTCTTCAAGAGTTTGGTACACTTCTCTATGTCATGTTTTTGTTGTTATGTCATATGAGGTCTCAGGTCCTTGTATTTAAACTTGCTCACAATGTCTTTCCACATTTTATTTAATCTCTCTCTCTTTCTCTCTCCCATCTCTCCGTGTGTTTGTTACAACACGAAATTTCATATCCTAACGAAAGAAGAAAAATGCATTGATACTTAGGAGATTCATGACCCCCGTCACTCAGAGCAAATATATATGCTTTTTTCAGACATAAATTGGTTGTTTGTCCCGAGTGCTTAACTGTTTAATCTTAGTTCTTGTCAAGTTTGAAAACCTTTCATGATAGATTATGTAAGAGTCTGGAGGAAGCAATAGATAACCCGAGGTTCAGCGTGTTGAATAACATAATGCAAATAATTTAGTTTTTTCTATGCACTCGTATGTCAGCAGTTATTGAGTATAAGCCATAAAATAGTTGAAATCTACTATAAACTTGTAAAAAATTAAACAGTTATTTGCAAATGACTTGATTATTGCATGTTAAGCTTCTAGGTGGTGAAGTTGAATGCGATGCAGCCTCAACCACTAAAACTCACCATCAAATTGAAGATCGATAAATCTCCCGACAACCCGGGTAATGTAGAGCAAGAACCCGATGCCGCAAGTAATTCTAATCTGCCGAACAACCAGTCAACGAATTCTAAAGACAAAGCGGAATTAAGTTGTACAGAAGCTTTGGAAAAAAAACACAGCACTGAAGATAACGAACCAAATGAAAATTCTGAGTATCAGTTGGTGGTTTATGATCCCAGTGCAAGTGGTACTACTAATGGCTCTATTGTGACTAGAGCTTCTCGACAACCTTCAAGAAATCAGCCAACACGTGTTGTACCTTCTGTGGGGGCCTTCACCGTTCAGTGCTCCAACTGTTTCAAATGGAGGGTTGTTCCAACAAAGGAGAAGTATGAAGAAATAAGAGAGCATATTACAGAACAGCCCTTTTTCTGTGAAACGGGCCGGGAATGGCGGCCCGAGATTTCATGTGATGACCCGCCTGATATAATGCAGGATGGGAGTAGGCTATGGGCGATTGACAAACCTAACATTGCTCAGCCACCGCCAGGCTGGCAACGACTACTGAGACTCAGAGGAGAAGGAAGCTCCAAGTTTGCAGATGTGTATGTATTGATTATGTTAAATTTGTCTTTTTATATATGTGCTGTCTGCCTGTTTGTCCAAGTGGTTGTTAACGTTGCGATTGGTTGTGTTGCATTTTTTTGAAAATTTTTGTTTTGATAGAGTAGTGATGGGAAAAGATTGAAATGAAAGGAAAGGATGAATCTTGAGGGTGAATGCATATGATATATAATTACACTGGTGAATGTTGATGTGATACGAAGATAATAGAATGATTGGTCTTAGAAGTTATGTTCGTCCCGCATCAATTAGTTGTTGGGTTATTGCGTGTAAGTGTGGGAGTACGCAATCTCTCCCTTCTAGCTAGTTTTTGGGGATGAGTTCTACCTAAGCCCATTTATGGGTGAATTATTTATTTATTTATTTATTTTTATTGAAGTGTGTAGATGTGATTGGCAGACAAAAAAATCGAGTGAATGAATAGCGTATCCTGTAAAAGTTTCAGTAGAGAAACATTGTTATGGTAAAAAGATTTGCTCTAGCAGAAGAAAGAGTTTGAAATGACATACAAACACTACCAAAGAAAATGATGTATTCTTAGAACCTTTTTTATGAGTCAGAATTTCCATATTAGATTGTTTTTAGGGATATCCATTTACTTCTTTTTTGATCTTTTGTAAATCTTCTACAGGTATTATGTTGCACCATCGGGCAAGAGACTTCGTTCAACGGTTGAAGTTCAAAGGTATAATAATATCTTCGTGTGACGTATTCTGGATCAGTAGTTTCCCTCACATTTCATTTCTGAGATTTCATGATGTTATCTTTCAAGGTACCTCAATGAGCACCCGGAATACTTAGAAGATGGTGTTAGCTTGTCTCGGTTTTCCTTCCAAACCCCAAAACCTTTGCGCGAGAGCTATGTGCGAAAACGTCCTGCTCAAGATGCGCTTAATGATGATGCTGGTTCTAAAGAGATTTCACAAGGTAACCTAAAATTTTACTTTGAATTTGAAGACATTTCGGAGCTCTCATTGAACTTAATATAAAAAACCGAGTCCTTTACAGCACTTTTCAATTGCGAATTAACTGCTTGAATGCAATTTTGGGAATTGGAAAAGGCAAAGAATAAATTTGAATTCTGGATTTAAGTTGAACTCAGTATACTACAACAAATTATCCCATGACTTGAAGTTTGTAACTTTGATTTGAAGAAATTGAGTTGATCTTCCATTCAAGTGTTATTCTGATTTTGTGTTTTAGATTCTTTAAGTTTTTAATTTCTCTTGTCGATAACATATACTCGTTAAGAATGCGATTTTTATTGATTTTCTGCAGTTCAACCGATAGCATGGATAAGTCCTGATGTGGACACGGACCTTCAGCTTAGTGGACCCAGGCTTTCGACCGACTATTCCAAGTCTCGTAATTCAACCCCTGAAGTCAAATCAGCAAAGAAGAAAACCCTGAAAAGGTCCCTATCCAAAGGGAGTTGCAATGCCAATTTGGAAAATAAATATAACTGCAGTGATGTCAATGTGGGAGAATCTCATCAGCTTTGAACTAGTGTTTGTTGTAATGCTCGAGAACTTTGTAACCGGAATGTGTGAGTTTGTGATGGTTTAAAGCTTTTTTCTGCAATTTTTACACACTCTAATTATGTAATGTAGGTTGTATAAATTATGAATTTAAGTTTGTTTTGAGTATATATACTGTGACTTTTGAAACCTAGGATTGCTCATATGTGTGTGCCTCTTGTATTGAGCTTCATCTTCTTGTTTAATACTTGCTGCAGATTATTATGTGTTTTATACTTAGATTTGCATTCGCCTAAAAACTGTCTCTTGTATCGAGCTCCATCTTCTTGTCTAAACTATGCATGCGCGTAAAAACTGTTTACACCGAAAGGAAAAACGAACACGATATCTAGAAACAGATGCCTTGATGAGCATAGCACACAACACAATAGCACGATTTGTAGGAGCAAGCAAACAATCTGAAAAAATTTGCATGGTAAGTGCTCAAAAGTGGAAAAAAATCACATTTCACCAGAAATTGTTGCTGTTTATTTGTAGTTTCTGAAAGAAACTACAACATACACAGCTTCACAGCACAAAGAATGATTTTTNAAAAAAAAAAAAAAAAAAATCAGTCCTAAACAATCAGCAGTCGACTGAATCCAAAATCTCTCGCTAAGTAATGACTCTTTGTCTTACAGCGGTAAAATTTTCCGAAACTTCACATACAACAAGGGACAAAAGACTAGGATCGACAGCCCCAGTGATAACTGCCCCCATTCTTTTAACACTCAACAAATATCCCAAGGCACTTTCTGTAATAACTTCACCCGGTACTAAAACCGGAATCCCAGGCGGATAAGGACATATCAGCTCACCACATATTTTACCAAGACACTCGTCGAGTCCAACTTTTCTTTTACGCACAAAAAACGCATCTCTAGGACTCAAAACCATGTTTATATCATTAAACACAGCTATGTTTGTGTCATCACTCGCTTTTCCTGCCAAGCCACCAAAAGTAGCCGACAAATGCTCCAATCCCGAAATGAGTCTCGAAACATGTTCTCTCTTTGTCCCAAGGTTAAAAGCTAATGTAATAGACCGAGTCCCTACAAGTTCAGGAATTACCTTAAAGTCCTTGAATAAAATATCGTCCGCTTCAAAGCCTGAAAGACCAAGATCTTGGACGCCAACCGTAACTCTCAAAGGATCCATATGACGACATTTAAAGAGTGAAATCTTGGGAATTTTACTGATCATAGTTTTTGCCTCGAGAGCTAGCTCAATAGCTCTACCGAAAATAGTTTCTCGGTTATCACCACTAAGTTGAGCCGTGGCAGCATCCAATGAAGCTAACAGCAAATAACTCGGGCTGCTGCTTTGGAGCATTTGAAGGGACCTGCAAATTTTTTCTCTATCTACAAGTTTACCGGACAAATGTAGCATTGATGACTGCGTAAGAGAGGATAAAACTTTGTGGGTCGACTGAATGACAATATCTGCCCCTTGAGCGAGAGCTGAGGTCGGGAGGCAAGTGTGGAAGCCAAAGTGGGCCCCGTGAGCCTCATCAACGATTAAAGGGATCTTTTTATCATGGCATAACTTAGAAATTGCAGCAATATCGCTGCATATACCGTGGTAACTAGGAGAAACGATTAAAACAGCAGCTGGTTTTCGGTTTTCCTTCTGTAGATCGTATATTGCTTCCTCTACCTGTTAAATAACAGCAAATATGGAATTGTCTGAGGTAAGAAAATACAAAAAAGTAGAAAAAAGGAAATAATCATTGCAAACTAGAAACTACCCTTGATATCTGGGGAAGTATGAAAAAGACCCAAAGACCTCATACATTGCCAGACTATAGACATGATTTAAAAAGAAAAAAAGGAAAAAAAAAGAAGAAGAAGAAGAAGGTCTCTATATGTAGTTGCCTGAGAAAGTGTGATGCCACCAGCAATGTCCCACATAGAATCATACTCGGGCAGAATGTACTTTGGTATCACACCAGATAAAACCATGGCAGATATTGCCGAAATATGACAATTCCGAGGGAGCACGAGAGTCTCTCCAGGCGAACATGCTGCCATTATCGCAGCTTGGATCCCACAAGTACTGCCGCCTACAAGAAACCATGTCTCTGAAGCTCCGAATAAATCAGCCGCCTGTTTTTGGGCTTCCAGAATAGGTCCCTCGGGTGAAAAAAGATTGTCGAGCTCCGGGAGTTCGGGCAGGTCATGCATAAATGGACTTTGGCCAATTAGATTGGTCAATGATGAAGGAGCTGCTTGTCCTCGGTTATGTCCTGGGAAGTGAAAGCTGGCTGCATTTTCATTTGCCGAGGCTTTTAGCGCGTTAATCAGAGGATGGTATTTTGTGTTCCTGCGTTTTTCAAAATCATTCTTGAGGTCATTGTCTGGCGTGTCAAATTCTATGGCTTTTTTTTCGTGCAGTCCCTTCCCTTTCTCTTTGCTTATTGCTGCTTGGGAAGTTTTCTGCAACGTGAAGTAAAAATGGTAAAGCTGTTTTTTTACGTGATTTGAGTTGTGATACAATGGTATTTATAATCGGTAAGTTAATAGGCAGATAACATCTGTCAACATTCATGATAAGAGATTTTTGCCTGAATCTCTCTTCCTAGACTCAATCACTTGCACCAATTAAATGACACATGAAAACACTTACAGAGACTGAACGCATATACCAATCGGCAGTGAAGAACGGATCAAAATACAGTCTATATCTCTATAACTCTCTTTTGGACGAACACTATCTGAACAATCAAATGTCATAAAAATACAAGGTCCGCTCATCCAATACAATGGAATAATGAGTGGAATATGATTCTGGGTAAAGAAAGATAGATATATAGGGAACGTAGGCATGTAGCGTAGTAAGAACGCCTCAAAATCGATTTATTTTTATTACTATCCACTAAAGTCTACCAAACTACACACCGAGGCAGGAGAACTTCCCAATTCACAAATTTCACCAACAGCTCTTCATAAATTTAAGTAAATATGTGACACTACAGAGCTATACTGCTGTTAAGAGTTCAAAATGTTGAGATTTTTCCCGGCACTAACAGAGAACAAGTAGTAAACAGAAAAGAACAAGCTAACAGAAAATTTGATAGAGCAGATAAAAAAGAGCAATTTGTTCATTTTCTTGAGAAAGCCACCTGGGAAATACAAGCTCTTGGTGCTGTACTCAGCCTGAAACTCCAGTTATTTCCTATACTCACAGTCAAGCTCTGCAAAACAAATAAAAGAAGAAGAAGAAAGACTGACTTTTTCACTGTTAACAGAAAATTCGATTGAGAAGATAAATTGAACAATTTGTTCACTTTCTTTAGAAACCCACATGGGAGATACAATCTATTGGTGCTGTACTCAGCTTGTAACTCCAGTTATTGCCACTACTCAGACTCAAGCTCTGCAAACGAATATATGAAGAAGAAAGAAAGAAAGAAAGAGCGAAAAATAAAAACAAAGACGGACGATAAATCAGTAGTTAGTAACAGTAAGATTTTGCCTTTTCGGGTGTTAAATACGGTAGAGAGGTCGTGACTCATGAGTCAGAGAGGCCTTACACACCATATCCAAAATGAAGACCCTGCAGGCTGCGTCTCAGGAAGAAGAAACGTTTTCCTTTTTCAATTTCATAGCCTTTTTTTTTCAAATAAAAGTATTTTTTGAGTAATTCCAATAATATCACAAATGTTGTTTTAATGACATGTTTATTGCACCAAACCCCCATTTATTATACAAAATTTGCGCATTTTCTCCTTATAATTTAAAAATTGCGTCAAACTTCCTTGTATTGTACTTTGGCCAGCTTACGCTCCCCAACTTGGTCTGGGTGCTAACACCGTTCCATATCTGTTAAACACCCGTTATGCCTCTATTATTTGAGAAGTCTCACCCAAACTATCTGAAACAAACAATCGAACTTCAAAATCTCTCTCTCGCGAAACAATCCCAAATTCATCGCCACGATTGTCCAAAATGCTACTAATTTTTAACTATTCATGAAAAGTATCGATGGATCATAATTGGAGATGTTATTTATCTTGAATGTTTGAAGTTGATTGGAGGAGTAATCTTTGATATTCCAAAGCTAGGTTTCTCCATTTGCACCGAAATTTCTTCTCGAAGGCATATAAAGTACTTTTCGAATCCTCGACGATTAAGGTTATTACATTGAAAGCCAATAGTTGCATTTATAAAATTAGGGTTCTTATGCTATATAGTTTCAAAAATAAGGTTTTGGTCAAGTGTCATGCTTCTGATTTGAAAATTAGGGAAAGTCGGTAGATTCGTTTGGAAATTAGGAAAATTAGATATCTTCTGATTCGGAAATTAAGGTTTTTAGTCAACATTCATGCTTCTGATTTAGAAATTAGGTTTCTTGATTTGGAAATTAGGGTTTTCTAATTTAGAAATTAGGGACAGTCGATATCTTCATTTTGAAATTAGAGAAAGTCGATAGCTTTTGATTTGGAAATTTTGGTTTTAGTCAAGTTTCATGCTTCTGATTTTGAAATCAGAGTTATTTATTTTATGCTATCTGTAGGTCGAATTTGTGGTCCTTGTATGAAATTGTTTAATTTGAAAGGTAATTATGTTGTTTGTTGGAAGAATTTGTGGTCCGTGTGTGGGGTGGTCTTTGTTCTTTGTTTAATTGTAAATGTATAGTGTGGTCCGTTTCGTATAGGAAAAAAAGTAGTTTAAAAAAAAAAAGATGAGAGTGTCGAGAGAGACATAAAATTCCAAGGTGTAAAATCGTTGCCTGAAGTACTCGAATCCCCCGTGGGCCATGATATTGTGAATAAGGTGTATGACTATGTGTGGGAAACGGGGAGAAAATCCACAAGAAAAGAGTGATTGTTATATGTTATCTATCTTACATGCCACATTAGCTGGAGGTGGTTGGTTCCATAGTAGAAACCAACGGTTCCTACTAACATGAAGCGCACCATAAACGGGGAAAAGCCCATATGAAGCCCAAGTGGAGTTCTATCCCAAAACCAATTGGTGGAAGGTTACGCCCATATGAAGCCCAAGTGGGATTCTATCCCGAAACAAATTGGTGGAAGGAGGAGTAACCCATTAGACTTATAAAGTGGGTCTATTTTCCATGTATGAACGATGTTGGACAACTCACTAGTGATATTCTAACACGCCCCCTCACTTATGACTCCTTCGAAAACCCAAGCCCAACTGGGTTGGTTGACGGGTACGTCGTCGCACGGTCACCAATAGAACTGACTCTGATACCATGACAGAAACTGGGGGAAAACGGGTGCGGTCCCACTAACATGAAGGGGAAAACGGGTGCGGTCCCACTAACATGAAACTGACTCTGATACGGGTGCGGTCCCACTAACATGAAGGGGAAAACGGGTGCGGTCCCACTAACATGAAGCGCACCATGAACGGGGAAAAATCCATATGAAGCCCAAGTGAGGTTCCATCACAAAACTAATTGGTGAAAGAAGGAGTAACCCAATAAACTTATAAAGTGGGTCTATTTTCCATGTATGAACGATGTGGGACAACTCACAAGTGATATTCTAATAGCAATCTTTGTATTTTCTTATTCAATCTACTATTATCATACTATGATTCAATATTATTAATCCATCTAAATTACTTGTTTCTACAACAGCAAAAAATCACAATACCCACGGCAACAAAAATAAACAACACCTACAGTCATGGATAATGTGTATGGTGCATGCAGAATTCAAGCAAGTTGAATGAAAGAAGGCAAAAGGAGAAAAACACGAGCTAATACAAATGAAGGTAATGTTCTTGAAAACGTATATTATAAATTTTATATTTTGCTAATGTGAACTTAGATTATTTGAACTTATAATCCTATTAGATTCTATAACGTATTTAAGAATTTTTATGAGTAGTCATGGTATTATGCTTTTTAATGACTGTATCTAATAATTCATATATGTGTGTTGTGTTTTATTTTTATATTTGTTGACATATACTGAATATGTATATGATGTCCGCCGAACTCGATCACAATAGACATGCATAAAAAAACAAATTAAAAGGATTAACATCCATGATAAACCAGACTTAAACAAATTTTGTTTTGTGTTTATTCTAGGATTGAAAAGAAATACATATCAAAAAGCTATTAGCACCTTTTTTTTGTAGTCATGCACAGTTGCTGAAAAAACTTGATTCTACTCATTGTTTACTGTTCATTGTTTGTTCATCTCCCATATCATGCATCATTATAGAAAATGTTTAAATAAAACATAGTATGTGCAAATATACAAAAGAAGTAAGCAAAATTATTTCATCAAACATCTTGAATTGATTTTTTATCTATTACAATGCATGAAATCAAAAACAATCTTTATTGTGTAATAAGTATTCATGCAGCACTATATGCAAACTCACATTAAACTTCTGAATGTTAAATACACAAATATAGTCAACTTAAAATACTTTTATGTTCATTACAAACTGTACTAACATGTTCTGTTTTGTGTTTAATGAGAAGAAGCGGAATGTTTACCTGTTGAATATTTGTCTATTCCGACATCCTCATTGTAGTGTCTTCCCTACAAAGCATTTTCCAATTCATTGTTTTGTTTGACTTGCTTGATTCACATCACATGTCATGCAATTATAATAGTGTTTAGACTTTCTTGAAATAAATAAAAGAACATTAAATAAGCTGACTCGGTGTGCATCCTATACTGTAAAAACAAATTTAAAATCAACAATTCAAAGTCAACAGGACATTGATCTATGCCTTTAACATTTACATGTTTTCTTAAATTACAAACTGATTTATACAACACTTCTTAAATCTTTTTAAAATAAGCAATTTCTCAATTTAAAGGCTATATGTTCATGAGATAGTCGAGAAAACATCAAAAATATTATATGAAATAGTTATTATTTAGCATTACTCAGAGGAGTAATCTTGCCAAATCTTTTGCCATGTCTTTTGCCAACCTTCTCAAGACCAAATATTCCTCTGCAATATTCGAACTAGCAAGAAATATTCCTCCCTGATACCATTTTATTATAAGTTAGAGAATGGAAAACAATAACTCTTAAATATCCCAGATTTATCAAAAACATTTTGTAAAATTTTAGATTTGAATGAAAAGTCATCTATGCCAGATAGATTTCCATGAATTAAAAAAAAAAAAACTCATGAAATTAATACAACAATCGAATGTTCATGTCAAAACAAAGTTTATTTTAAACAACCGTTCGAAATCGGAACAATTGTGTTTAAACAAATAGTCAGTGTTTGCAATTTTTTAACTTAAACATTAGAAATCTCATGTTGGACTGTTCTTGAAAAAACCTGTTTTTAGTTATGGTCAGTTATATGTCGCTGTTTCACGTGTTACTAATAGAAAGGGGTTGAAATTATTAGTTTGTGGAGACGATGAGTTACCCAGTAACCAAACTAATAATGTTGTATACAATGAGGTTTTTAATAATGTATGACTTATTATCAATGAAGAATTTATAATTACTTTATGAATTGAATGCCCTATGTATTATAATTTATTGATTAATGACCTTCAATTTATTAAAAATTTTCAAGATAATTACAGCCCGTGCATCGCACTAGTTACATACTAGTTTGCCTATATATGTTTAAAATTTTAGAAAAATAATTAGTAAAATTAGATGTTAAGTTATACTATAATTAGTTGAAACGAAATTTATATAGTTAATATATCTCTTCTCCCATCTCTTATATTACATCAATCATAATTTTGAAAAACTAATTGAATCTATATCTATATTTATATATATATATATAATAAGAATTAACATTTACCAAAAATAGTACCAAAAAAATAGGTCAAAATTTAATGCAGCCTATAAATAGTAAGTTTTATTATTTTTCTTATTTTTTTCTTTAAAAATCATACAACATTAAATGCTACCTTAAATTTCTAGCTTTAGTTCATTTTATTATTTAAAAAATCCGGCAAAGATTTATTAAGTGTGTAAGTTTTTATTTTTATTTTTTTCTTAGAAACAACGAACAACATTAAAATCTCGATTTTTATATTTATAAAATCTCAATTCAAAATATAACAAAAGTTTTAGAATCTCGGTCTTTATATTTGTGCCTTTAAAAAAATATTGAATGCTAAAAATATTCTTTAAATTGCATAATCAATCAATTAATCTTAATTTTTTAAAAATTACTATGTTTATTTTGTATTAATATGCATAAAGTAAAAATAATTTATTCATCTTTAGATATATAATTTATAATCTTAATATACTATCATTTGGTGTAGACATTTATTATATAAATCATAAAATATTTTTATTTCATAAAATTAAATATATTTAAAGAAAATAAGAAAAATTCTTCGGATCAATCGGGTGATTGAACTAGGGTACTGCCCAAGTTGATTGAATTACTTTTAGGTGATATTTAAAATAGTAAAAAAACTTGACACAACTTGGATGGTCCCATGTGACTAAGTTATGTATTTGTTCGACCACACAAAATCGATTATTGAACCTAAATATAAATTTTATATTAAAAATATTTTATTACGTGAATGTGATGTAATCCAAACTTCAAATGATCGTATTAACAATACTTTTATTACAACATGTTTAATGATTTATGAATATT